GACGTCACTTATTGAATGTGGGAAGACCTAGCAATATTTCCGAAGCCAACTCAATTTTATAGACGGAAAAGAATGCCTCTTCTGTCAGTGCATTTGATCGGCAGAGAGAAAAACAAACAAACATGTTAGAGACGGATATTCTAAACGGAACAAAAAAGGTGAAAGAAGCAGTCGCAATTTTAAAAAGATTTATTTCGAGTTAATTAAAAATTCAAAAATCCATGTTGCAGTTGGGTCTCACTCACAGCTACATTTTTTAAAAGTAGAAACTTAATATCTACATGGTCCGGGATACACCTCTTAGTCCCTACATCAAATATGGCGAACTTGTTCTTTCCTCGTCAATCGTGAGGCAAAATAAAGGTCGTTTTTCACAGTAACTAAACCAGGCTAATGAAATGTTATAATTGTCTGGTGCACGCTTTATGTGATTGGTCAATTATCCAGGCCGTAATCTAGAGTACGGACCGCTTTAGACCAGAACGTCGATTTAATAAGTGACATCATGTTCAGATACAGATCATCAATTCCCCTGTCAAATGGTCCATAATCTTTCCGTTTAGCGCATGAACCGACCGAAAAAAATAGCCTTTATCTTTCCAAACAACGCAATCAATTATTTGGGGCACTGAAACAACATCGAATCACTGATATATATTGTTGCCAAAAGAATACCGCACCACATAACAGTCAGGTTAACACAATCAATTCCAGTTGCAGTTTGCTTCGGAGAAAAATGGAAGAAAAACACAGAAACAGTGTTCATCACCAGAACTTGGCATAAATACGAAGAAAAAAATGATCGTTACTTTCGCGATTTGAAAGGTCGCACGGGACAAGAATGTTTATTCAAAAGATTTGAATAAATGAGCAACGCTAGTCGTTATAATCCGCGATATTTATTACCTTTTCTTGGTTCACCCATGAAAAATAATTATAATACTGTCAAGAAAACAGGCAAGTAAATAAAGGAATAAAAGAATATTATCGTGACAACGTGTGATTAGAATAAGTAATTTCTTAACAGAGAATTGAAACCCATTTAGAAAAGTGCTTATCTTCCTACCGGAACTTGTTAGCACAACCGAACCGAAATGAAAGTAATAAGTTTGTACAAACGAGGACCTATGGCATACAGAGGACTTTGTTTATACAGCTTTTCTAGCACTAATGGTCGGTCCATTGTAATGAAAGGTACACAACAAGGTCACTGTTTTGATCTCGAAAACTAAGGTCCATCTATTTTCACGGCACTTGATTTGCCAAGCTTTTCGTAGCGGTGGATAAAAAGACCCTTTCAGATGGATCGGTTTATAATCTGGCAAAGTTCCTCTATTTGACGTGTATGCAAAATTCAGTAGCGAAAACGGCTATCTTTCAAGGTTATTGTTGTCATTAGTTGGAGATCTGAATTACCATGCAACCCATCGAAATATTCCTTCGACAAATATGGATGGCAAACATAAACCATAAAGATTTTAGAAACGAGAGGTTTTGTTGATCAGTGTCAGAAAGTAAATGTGTCAAAAAAGTGGATATAAAACCATGGAGAAAGCGTTTAGTTTACGGCAGACTGGGAGGTGGTCAAGTGGTCGTAATTGAAAGGCAAATTTGAATTTATGGTTTTCGTTGGAAGAGAGCCAGATTTCATTTCATACTCAAGGCACCAGTTGTTTTCCGCGAACGCTCAGTACGTGATTGGCCGGCTTATTCTCGCTGGACAAGGTAAACGATTTAACAGCACTGTAAGCCATAGCCGTGAATAAAAGAGCGAGATCAACAAAAGACGATATTTTTCACGCCCAAACATAAATTGAGGAATGGAAAATTTTACAGGAAATAGCTCTTCTTATTCAGCCTCCGGTTTAGTCAGCCAGTTACCTGAGAATCCAACGGGATCCATCCCTCTGGCGTGCCTTTATTCGGTGATTTCATTTATTGCGGTGTTTGGAAACCTTCTCGTTGTAACAGCTGTTATCTGGGACCACACGTTGCGGTCATACACAAGTAACTATTTCCTCGCCAATCTTGCAGTGGCCGACTTTTTCCAGGGAGCTGTGGCAATTCCTTTGCGGATACTGGAGGTGATGGCGCTTGAATACGACCCAAACGTTTTTTGCAGAGTCGCAATTCCTACTTCAATATTATTTGGGGGCAGTTCCAACCTAGCTATCCTTGTAATAAGCATCGACAGATTTCTAGCCGTGCAGTATCCTTATATTTATGTAAGATACTCGAGCCTCAAATTCATATTTGGTGCAATTGCATGTGCGTGGTCAGTAGCTTTTGTGTTAAGTATAACGGCCGCCTCCCGATTAGTGTGGCTTAGTCCTGATGTCCCATCACGAATTTGTCGTTTTCCTACCTATCTGAACCAGGATTATATAATGAGCATGTACGTTCTTGTACATGCCATTCCCATTGGTACAGTAGTACTTTTATACGGCTTTATTCTCAAAGCCAGTTTAAGACACGTGCGCAAGATTCACGCACAGGAACTTGCGGTTGCTTCATGCCGCAATACAAACGGTGACCTTAGCATCATCGAAGAAGAAACCTCGTCTAGTACAAAAAGAAGAAAAAAGCGCCATCGGGATAACATTAAGCATAGGAAAGCTGCCAAGACGGTTTCTATAATCGTTGGCATTTTTATCGTGCTTGTAATTCCTATCATAGCAATCGACTTAGCAGAAATGTTGGGGGCTCCTTCAGCCCCCGCGTCGTTAACTAGAATCTGTGTTTTTATGATTTATGCTAATAACTGTGTTAACGTTTTGGTGTACGCTGGTTTTAACCAGGACTTTAGGCGAGCTTTTAAGAAGATAATAATTAAGTTCTTTCGAAGTTTCTACGGAATTAGACCGCACCGGTGAAGCGAGGATTAATATTGATTTCTGTAAATATAGCATAATTTTAATTTTGCTGTATATGTTCAACTGCTGTTCGTTATCAACTTGTTAACTCAGTTTCAAAGATTACTTGTAAGTAAACAAAATAATGTTTACCCGAACATAAAGTTACCATCGCTTTTAAAAGCTTCTTGTGGACATGTTGTGAGTGCCAAACATAGCTGACAAATTATGTTACTATCATTATCAAAACTGCAGATGATGTAGTTAAAAAAAATTGAATATTGCTAGCTTAAGGCAACCTGAAAAACTAAAAATAGGCAATTTTACCATAGAAAAGTTCAACATCAAAACACAATCAAGGGGAATTATTTAAATAGAAAAAGATGAAAAAACGAGCAGTCATTTTTTGCCTTTTGAAACTTGCTTGCGGCTGAACTCTCTCCAGCTCCAGATTACTCAGTGTTTCATTCCAGGTATTTCATTGCTGGGAAATTAACTAAAGCGTATAAATCTACTAACAGCTTATTCGCTTCGTTACCAGTTGTCATGAATTATTTAAAACTGGGCTAGAAACTTTGCGATGTCCAATTGTGACGAAAAAATGGCGTGTTTGTAAGTGTTTCCGGACAAACCGTAATTGTGTAAAGCAACGTTGAAAGTCTTCACAGAGTTCATGATTCAAAATTTAACAAGAAATATCTTCAATAGTAATATAATACATCAACGTAATATAAAACACATGCTAAAGAAAGATAATACTTATCACGAAACATGGAGAAAGGCCTATATATAGAAATATTACAAAGCTAGCAAAATTGAAATTTTTCGCAATTCACAGAGAGAACCTAGTCCTTTGCTCCACGAATGCGCGTGCCTCTTTTTGTATGTGTGTGTGTGTGTTTGTTTGCCTTTGTTTGATTAAAAAAAAATCTTATTTGCTTTGGTTCTCCAAAAAACCACCTGCGTATAGAATAGCATCAACCCCCATACTACAATGGTGGTTGTGTAATAAGTAAGCAGCATCTGTTATACCAGAGATTACAGTGGACCAATGATTATTTTCTCCGTAGCACACAATATTTCTTCCCTGTTTTTTCCCTTTTCAATTTCTGTTCATTTATTTATTTACAAATCTATTTGTTTATTTTTTGTAGGGGGAAGGTGGTTGTTTTTCTACCTAAATGATGTTCTAGCTTGTTTTGAAAACGATACGAATCGATCAAGTCGAGAGAGTTAATTTAATTCATTCAAAATGTCGACCTATTTGAGACAAGGGGATTGGACATGAGAAACGCAATCAGTTTGACTGTTTTGTAATCAATGCTTTGAACCCGGGAGTATATATACTGCGCATAGTGTAAATATCAGTCACTAACGACATTTATTTTCAGAACTGCACTAACATGGACTCTCACAGGAGACGAGCTTTAATTATATTGTTTCACAGGATCAGTAATTCCTCGGACTGATAATAACATATCAAATAATAATGAAGCGATTTTCCGTGCACGCCACGCACGAAATTCAAAGTTGGGTAATCGCGCTGCAAAATTCCGAATTTGTTCTCAGTCCTTTATTTCACAGTGGTGTTTATGTACCCAAATAATATTTAATAATAATGTTCCAAATAATAGTTCACCTCCATCATGGTTCTAAGATTTCGAAAGAAGAATATTAAAAAAGATACAGCATCATGGTTTCTCGTCCGGCGCGACGTTCCACGCTACAGCTTACATCAGGGCTAGAATTAAAATAAATGTGACGAGTTTGGCGAATTTGCTTGGACTGATAGTCTTAGATGAAACCCGACCTAATCATTGACCCCAGTACATACTTTGGTGGGCTGGAATACCGCAATATATATATATGGAATAATGGAAGATAAGGAAAAAAATAGTCTTTCGTATGTGGTAACACTCAAATAATTAGAGTTGGTTTGCACCTGCACGATTCGTACCGTACGTACTTTAAACAAATACAAAAACCAATATTACAAAACCGAACGACTCAAATCAACTTATGCTTTTATTACCAAAACCGTCCTACAGTGGATTAAGCCAACATGCTTAGTATTGTAATACGAACTCAAACGAAGGCACAACACGTTTTTGTTTGAGAGGTTGTTAGCAATGATTTATTTTACCTCAGTTTTGACACCTTCCAAATGGACCAGAAAACAGAAAACGACACAAATTAGAAAAGGTTGATTGTGTTGTACAATTAAAGCAACACAAGGGTTCTAGTTGACAATTTTTTCTTTTACTGGGCTTTTTCTTGTTCCTTTTCGGGAATGAAGCAGAGGTCACTTAAAGTTTATTGTATTCTTTAGATTGTGTGAATGGCCATTGTCAGCTACTACTAGCTGGCTCTTAGAAAAAAAAAAGGAAGAAATAAAAAATAAATCGTAAATCAAATTAACCAGAAAATGTACCATTAGTTGTATTAGCATAAAAATAGTTAACATATTGTATCCAAAATAAACTGAAGATTAAATTGCTCTGAAAACGTACAGCAGATAGGAAATTTCAGCTTTTCAAGCATAACTAATTTATATGAAAAAAGTTCCACTTTATGGCCATAATTCTTGTTCTTGCTCCGTGGTTTTAAAATGAAAGAAGCCAACAACTCTGGCAATAATTCTTTTGAAAAGCTGTTGGCGTCGAATGAAACCCTGCTACCACAACAGCCAGCAGCTGCCACGGATGTAGCTACGGCCATTATTGTTACAATTCTGATTTTGATTTCGATTCTGTCAGTGTTTGGCAATGCCCTCGTGTTGGCTGCGATCTACATGAACTACAACCTGCGAACAGTGGGTAATTTCCTCTTTGGTAACCTAGCTTTGTCGGATTTTCTTCAAGGTGCAATTGCGATTCCTTGTCGTATTGCGGAGTTGTTGTACGCCGACTGTAATTTTCGCCATTTGTTCTGTCCCGCCTCAATAGCTCTATCCATTCTTTTCGGTGGCAGCTCAAACCTCACCATTCTTTTTATCAGCGTCGAAAGGTTTGTTGGAGTTCGGTGGCCATTCCTCTACTACTCTTTCATAACAACAAAATTTGTTTTTACAGTGATCACTTTCACCTGGGTTTTATTAGCAATCTTTGCCAGCCTTCCTTTGTTCGCTTGGGGCGGGTTGACAAACTACCAAGCTAATTTGTGTCGTTTTCCACTGTTTTTGACCTCAAATTACATCACTGCCCTCTATCTCGTCCTTTACATCGTACCAATGTGCATCATAGTTCCGCTTTACACCTTCATTCTCAAAGCGAGTTTGAAAAGTATTCGGAAAATTCACATCCAGGAACTGAGCGTCCGAACGCCAGCTGCAAGAGTAAATGAAATCGACGTTGAAGAAACCGATGCTACTGCTCCCCGGGTCCGAAGGACAACTGATCAGGCAGCAAGGCAGAGGAAGTCTGCAAAAACTGTATCTCTTGTTGTTGGATTGTTCATCCTTCTGATAATGCCCATCGTTGTCATTGATATTGTGGAAATCCTCGGGGGCCCGAAGGTGTCCCTCTTGGTCATCAGAATAGCCGTGGGGATGGCGTATGCGAACCATTTTCTTAACATTTTCATCTATGCAGGCTGCAGTGGTGAATACAAGCGGGCATTTGCGAAGATTTTGTCAAGATTAAGAAGTTACTTTACAAAAAATTCGCAATAAATTTACTTGGTAAACTAGATTGCAAATGAATGCAGACAGGGAAAAGGCTCACGAAAGCCTCATCTCAAAAACCTGAGCTGGACAGGTATCTAACAAAAAATGAATGCCGTTCACACATAGATGATGACGTTTTTGAGAGACTAACAATTCGAGAAAAGAATTTCTTACTAATGTAATTTAGCGGTTGATAATGTTTGGTTTTTTTGAATTATTATTTTACGAGTTCCAATCAGTGTTTCAGACTTTCCCCAACAGATATAACAAGACCGCAGTTAGTTTGCACTTCAATTAACTTGTTTGTTTTGCAGGGGAAGGATCCAGTGGTTTTAGAAACTTGGCGGTGAGAAAAGGTTTAACACGTTTAAGTTTACAACGCGTGTGGTAACATTCTGAGCGAAGAAGAACTGGCTAAGTCTAAAAAATATCTTGGGATAGACTACCTGGGAAATAAGGCCTGTATGGGGGTTAACTCTCTGATCCTTCACTTTCTCTTGATCCCATGTAAAATTCAAGCTAATGAAATTAACTAACGTCTGCATGTTTTGATGTTTTCTGCAATGCTCTGTTTGACCATAGATAACTTTTAGATTGCAATTCAAACAAATGACGAACCAAAAACAAAGCATTCCAATTGGCTGGTCTTTGTTTTCAGCCCTCTTAGCAGTCTTGCGTAAGTCAAACCAAAGCAAATCCTCATCTGAGAGAATGTCATACAAAGTCAGAAGTGTAGCAGCTCTCGTAAGCTGCTATTGTTTTCATTATTGTTGCAGCTGTTATTTTTTCGGTGCTAGGGGCATTGTTTCTGTTGTTTGTTCTATTGTTGCCTTAAAGAGTATCCAGCCATTCATGTGAGAACTTACGAGAGAAGCTACATGACCCTACAAAGTTTGCCTCAGCGCATTGAACATTGCATTCAGCACACGTGACACAGGTATTCAAAGCCGCTTTCACTTATGTTGAGCGCTCGTTTATTGGTCAATAGAAAAAAATCATAAGCCTGAGAATTTTATAATAAATAAGCTCACATTCACGATAAAGTTTGTCAAAAGTTCTGAAACACTTTACTAAAACAACCTACTTGTAGATGTGTTTGCTCCAAAGTACCTCTGAAAAAAGATACAGTAAATATGGCAAGCATGCAACCATGGGATTTAAAGGTTGTGAATATAATGCAGCAAATAACATTTATTTATAATATAAAGGATGCGTAAATCTACAAAGCAGGTTTTTGATCTGTACATTGTCACGCTTGTTCAAACTGATCTGATGCCATAAATGTATCATGTCTAATATGACTGTGATGTGTGGACGTTGGGGCGAGCTTCCGTCCAGCTAGTTAAATACAATTATAAACAATAGCCTCCGTTTTGCGCGAAAATATGCTCGGATATTTGTCCGCGGACATTATCTGTTCTCTCGTGGAAAAACCGTGAGCTTCGAGAAAGGACAAGGACAAATATCCGAGCATATTTTCGCGCAAAATGAAGGCTCCTGTGTTTATTACCCTTCAAATGTGTTTCGCAACGTTTTAACACGCACGGTTTTGAAAATTGGGAATTAGTATAATTTCAGAGCTGAACAAAGAGTTTCCAGCACTCTGATCGGTCGAGCGATTCCTTATATGACGCTATATTCACCGCTCAAGGCGGTGAATATAACATTTTCGAGGCCTGATTACTAAGCTCGCCACCTTTGCCATCTCGGCAAGTAAATATGGCGGACAGTTGTTGAATCAAATTTTCATTTATTCGGGAGACATCACTCCAAGTCCAGGATATTTGGAAGGATGAAGAATTTTCAAAATGACTGCTGTCGCCCTTGAACCAAAAATCTTTTCAAGAACTCGTATTGA